TGCCCAGGTATTGTTACCAGCATAAGAAATAAGACATAAAGTAATAGAAAACAACCTCTCCAGCAAGACGAGCTCATGCTGCTGGTTGATGCCCAAGTATCGTTACCAACTTAGGAAATAAGACATAAAAGTAATAGACAACAACCTCTCCAGCAAGACGAGCTCGTGCTGCTGCTTGATGCCTATGTATTGTCACCAGCATAGGAAATAAGACATAAAAGTAATAGACATCAACCTCTCCAGCAAGACGAGCTCATGCTGCTGGTTGATGCCCAAGTATCGTTATACCAGCATAGGAAATAAGACATAAAAGTAAAAGATTAAGCAACCTCTCCAGCAAGACGAGCTCATGCTGCTGCTTGATGCCTATGTATTGTCACCAGCATATAGGAAATAAGACATAAAAATAATAGAAATCAACCTCTCCAGCAAGACGAGCTCGTGCTGCTGGTTGATGCCCAGGTATCGACCGGTTGTGATGTGTCGCAGGCGCATCGGGTGGAACCAATTGATGTAGCCGCCCGCCCACTTGGTGCGTGCGAGCTCCAGCCGCCACAACGACCGAGCCTGTGATGTCACCGAGCCACCCTCGTACACCACGATGCTGCCACACCGAGATTATGTGATGTGGTGTCATCATTATGAGTGATGTGACTTCATTGTGACAGTTGGATGAGCATCATAGTGACAATCGTACACCTCGATGCTGACACATCAAGATAAAGTGATGTTGCGTAACATGGCATCATAGTGACTATACGTACACCACAAACTGCCATATCAAAATAGTGTGCTGTGGAGTAATGTGGCATCATTGTGAATGACTATATAGTTCATATGATGCTGCCACACCAAGATACCGAGTTAGTTATGCAAATAGATCGATGTGAGATTTGCACCAATGCCCTGCCACATTGAATAGAGGTGTTCAAATAACTCAAGTGTAAAGTAAACTAAAAAGAAATTTCTTAAGCCATTTCAGTGCGAAATCAGTATCTATTCTCTGAAGCTACAAAATAATTTCAATGATAATCAAGTTTTTGACGCATTATTCATGTTTGAAATTTTAAGCTAATGCAATGTACCATCAGCAACAAAATAGATTTTAAAGAGATTTTAAAGAGCTTAACATCGACTTCAAATGCGGTGCCGGCCAAGGCCAAGTCCACCAGACATGAGATTAACGTTGGATAAACTTGAACGTTAAAACGTTTAAATTACGTCGATTTAAAGTTTAAGTTGATTTAACGTTCATTAAATGTTAACGTTGAAATGAAGTTTATGAAACGTTTTTTCAACGTTATTTGCCAGGAATTTTGCTGTTGCTCACTTCTGCCCGGGTTGGTCGGACCAGGTGGACGGTATAGAGAGGCATTCGTCTCCGCCGTGGAAGAACCGCAGCACCTCGCCACCAAACACGCACGCTGCGGTTGTAGAATAGAAGTGTCGGCGTTGAAGAAATAGGCCCATGGCGATCACCATATTAGGACGATGGTTAGATGGACGATGGTTAAGGAAGACGATGTTCACGTGAGGATCATATAGAATAGAAGTCTATAGTATAATAGATATAGAATAGAAGTGTCGGCGTTGAAGAAATAGGCCCATGACGATCACCATATTAGGATGATGGTTAGATGGACGATGGTTAAGGAGGACGATGTTCACGTGAGGATTGCACCAAATAATCTTGTAAAATAGGCCTATATACATCGTTAATGTGGCATGGAGTGCATAACACAATAGTTTTCTTCGACCCAAATAACGTCAAACAAATTAGTTAAGAAATCGTCAATTTGTAGCGATTCCACTATTCATGCTAGATCGTGTGCTGAACTGGGTAGATGACTTGAATTCTGTAGACGAGAGGTAATAAAACTGATATATTAAGGTACGTAGGAAGAATTTAATAGAAAACGTATGTCATCTCTGAAGCATTTCGTTAACACTTCAATAAGTTTATCTTACTATAACCTGCACAAGTCCGTCACGCTTACAACGGCAAATTCAGTTTACAAACGCACAATCAGAATTTAATTTACTTAACATGACTGATGTTCCGGTGTCCGCAACTCCGCCAAGTACAAAGAAATTAACACTTTGACTCCGATTGCTTAATCTTGTACTATTATTTCATTTTTTGTACTGTTTTTAACAGGGTTGCCAGACGGTCATTTGTTTCCAGGCAAATTCCGTGATTTAGTTTTTCTCAATTGCGTTGGCCGGCCATAATTTATGATAGGGGTACTTCCTAATTAAATTTTAAATACTGCAAAAAGAAAATAAATGGAATTTTTATAGCGGAACCTACAAATAAACTATAGTATATATCGAGTAATCTGCCTTTTTGGCCTTTTTTGTTCTCGGATTTGGCCGATTTTAGGCAACCTGAATTATGTACCACTACGTCCTGGAGAAATACATTTCGTGGTACGCATATGTACCACTTCGGAGTCAACGTGTTAAGAGGGGAGGCAAAATCAATTAAAAGCTCAGTGGTTTGAAAGAAGGGTGACCGGTGCAAAAGTCGTAAAAGAATTTGTTTACAATAGTGGAGTCAACTTTGATAAGGCTTGTCGTGGGTTCTAAACCATGCTCGGCCATTTTGCAACTTCGAAAAAAAATTCACAATTATTTGCGGGTTTCGAATTCCCATTTCGCTGTTCTAATCTAGGTGATCCTAACAATCGGTCACCCCGAGAANGAAAATCCTGACAGAAATATTTTCAGTTAAATCCGTATAGCAGCTGAAATTATGATGGCGCAGCTCCCTAGCTGAAATTCTTTCACTAAATATAAGTTCAACTTACTCTACGCCTTTCGCGATTCAAAGATTCCATTTCGGTTTTGAAAAATGAAACAAGGGATAAAATATATACACTACCATGTGTCAAAACATAACGGCTATTGGCTTTATATTGGCTAAAATATGACACTCACAGTAATGCCACTATACATATAAACGCATGGTTAAAAAACCTGAATTAAAAAATGTTATTTCGAATGAAATTTACAAGCCGGATTCATTCTGGAAAAAAATTACTTTTATTTGTTGCCAATTTGTATTTTAATTGAAGTATACTAGCACAGACGAAAATGTACGGCAAAGTTGCTCATGCGTTACTTTGCATTTAATAATTCTAAGAACTCTGAATTACTGAACCTGTAAAAATAATAAATTACTGAAGTTGAATTCTATAATGAAACATAGAACCCACTACCTCAGGTTGGACCCTCAGGTTAGTAGGTCGTCACCTTGCGAGTGCTCCTGAAGACCGACGTCGAACGCCAGCTTATCGCGGGACGAGCTCGTCGAGAGACATGCAAGGTACTGCACGGTATATCAATAGTACAGTCAATCAGTTGGTGAAATAGTGCAATGGTACACAGTATTTAATGAGTTATTTATAAATAAAAGAAGTCAGCCATAGACTGACCGGCTTAACTTTTCTTAATCACAATTACGTCACCCTGGATTATTTATTCAGCCATGCACTGATATTTTATTTAACCACCGTTTAGGACATTCAATCCTTTGAACCAAATGCTAAAGAATCTGTTGTAGCTGCTGAAAATGAACATTTTTAACTTCGTAAATAATTGAATCTGCATGTACACTGTTAGAAAAATGACCGTTAACGGTATTACCGGCGTTTCAGTGGCCGGTTGGCACGTGAAAAGAAACACCGTTTCACCGTTTTTATTCCAATTTAACACCAGAAATCCGTAAAACATCTGATAAAAACGGCGAAACAGTTTATTTTCACGGGGCGACCGGCCACTAGGATGCCGGTGGGACCGTTTTTTCACCGTTTTTTCTAACAGTGTAAAGAATTAGAACCGCTTATCCATTGTCAATTTATTTCCAACTAAGTTTCGAATACTACATTAATCAACATTGATGCCATTACCTTTCGACTGTGCGAAAACATCACAATGCGTCAGACGTTAGTTGATAGGTAAAAAGATCTATAATCACTCCTTAGTGAATTTATCGTTTGCTATTTGAAAGAAAATAAGTGTACAAAATATGTTACTACTTTTCTCATTGATAATAAACGGATGTACAGACAGTATTTGACACGCCAATTTTGAACAAAATAATTGTACGACTGCAAAGTATGTATACAACACAAGAATTTCCTGCCGATAGAATTTAACAGGCAAAGTATTTAAACCTGATTAAAGCGTTTAAAAGCCTTTCTTATCAGTGGTGATTGCTGCAAATCAATTATCTTCTCAAATATAACTAATAAAGAAAATAAACTTGAAGATTAAAAGATATAACTCGAAGAAAACTCACAGAAATTATAAATAAGAATGAAAAACATAAAAAAATTATCAAAAATAAACAAAAGTAGAATGAACATTGAATTTATGAGATCAGTTCATTTATCGATGCATGTATTTAAATTCAAAGCATCAAACAACAATTCAAAACAACATCAAATACCATGAAAATTTATTTAAAAGATTTAAATCAATTGATTTATTTAAATATTTGATATTAATCAATCAATCTTTGATTGATTTACATTTTTTAAATGTTTGATTTAAATCAATCAATTTTTGATTGATTTAAATCTTTTAAATCTTTTATTCAAATCAATCAATCTTTGATTGATTTAAAATTTTAAATCAATCAATCTCTGAT